GGAAACCTTTGTTTGAAGTTACAGAAATGTCACTTTATTCCTTATTCTTTCTTTAATTCAGCAAATATTTATTTAATTAGGGTAGTTTTTATGAAAATTTGTGATGTGCTGTTTTTCACTCTAAATTAATGTGAAGTGAGCTGTATCCTCAGTAATAACAATTTATTCTTCCATGCCAGTTACTGGAGGTAGTAAGCCATACTTTATTAAGGGTTTTCATTTACATGATTCACTTGATCTTCATAACAATTCTGTAAAACAGATATTTTAAATATTCATTTCCCAGGTGAAGAAGCTAAGCCTCAGAAAATTTAAGTGCATAGTCCGAGGCTGTATATTTAGTCATTGGTGAAACCAGGATTTCAACCTAAGACTTCTGACCGCAAGTCTGGGCTTTTTGGACTGTTTTCTGTCGTGGGGAATTAACTTAGGTTGGTTTGCCCATTGTCTTTGGTACACTTTGTGAAAACACTGGTATAGTCTGTAGTCATAGGATTAATTAAATCCAGATTTGGCTTATAAAGTATTGAAAAATATGACCTGTCTCACTGGCACTCACTAAGTAAGTTAATTGGCCATTGAGAATTAAAGTCTCCATGGTAATTATCACTGCAGTTTAAGCATGCTTAATTGTAAGCTGAAATCTTGGATCATTTTCATTAGTGTCTGTTTCAAGATTCCCTCTTATTGAAGCAGAGTCGTGGCTATGGGTCCTATAATCAGAGCTATGTCTAGATAGTAAAGGAATTTTCAATGAACTTTGCCTTCTATTCTTTGTGTTAGTGACGGGGAGATGACTCAGGGAGGTGGGTGATAGGAGAGACTCACTGCTTCTAAGAATATAACCAATCTGTAATTTCTCCATCTCATGCCAACAGGGATAGAATTTCTCCTATTTTACTCTCAAGCTGCCCTTTTATGACATCATTTTAAAATTTATCACTGCCCATGATATTCATTTTATCAAACCTTTCACCTCGTCAAATTAACAATGATGTGGAGATAGAAAAGTAAGCTCACACTGATTTTCTTCCCTAGCCCTGCCCTCCCTGGGACAGCTGCGGCGTGCGCCTTTTGTGTGTTCTAACAGAATGCACGGCCGTGCACTCAGCACGGAGAGGGGCCCGGCACGCACAACCAGTCACCTGCCGGGCAAAGGAGAATGGAGGCCCAGAGAACGTAGCAGTGAGATTTTGGCTGTTTCTTCTTAGGACCCCATCTCGCCTACCTAAAATGTGAGACTGGAGAGTTTTTGGCTCCAGTTTACAAGTCTGGCCAGACTTAGGGGGTCCTTTCCATGTGGGGAATCATTCTGATCTGATAGGCAGCCATGTACTTGTCTTATTTGTCTTGGAGCCCAGTCACCTACCTTTTTTCGCTCTTCCACTGGAACTTTCCCACCATGTGGTTAGGAGTCTGAAAATATTTGGTACGGTCAGACCTCCAGGGTCTCTTCAATATGAGTCAGTAATTGACAGTGAGGTTCTCAGCTCTGGGGATCGGTGGATATAAGCCAGGGTCTCCTGAGGTCATTAAATGCCACGGCAGACCACCGCCAGTCTTCTGCACCGGATAGTCACTTGGCAGTGTATTTAGACTTTCTTCCCTTTCTTAGTTCTCCTTGAAGTTTGATGCCAATTAGATGCCACCACTATGGCATTTTCCTCAGATTCACATCTCCAGGTGTTGGGAACAAGTGTATCCAGTGCTATATTTGAGCACGATCCAAATACATATTTTCCTTCTCCCCAGGAAAGCCTGGAAGCATTTTAGCAATCTTTTCTGCACATATTTTTTGAGGAGATCCTGATGAGAGAGTACAAGTTCTGGTTTTTGTGTTGAATTTATTGCCTTTCTCATTAAACAGTAGTAAGAAAGGGGGTCTCATAGCTTTCATCCGTGCAGAGTTTCTGGTGCAGCTTTTGATGTTTTCTGGTTTACAGCCTGGTGTGGATTTCCTGCAGTCAGCAGGCATTTGATCTTTTTCCCACCCTCCTCCTGTTTTTTAAGCACAGGAAGATTGAATTCATGGTATGGCAGAATAAAATAGCTGGAGCAAGAATGCGGTATTTAAATCCTGTCACACATTTAATGTTAAGTAAGTGTTAAAGGACCTTAGAGTTGGGGATACCACTGCCTTCCATTTATTCACGCAGCATGTATTTATTAAGCCTCCCTTTGGGGGCACAATGGGCTGGACTAGGCAATGAACTAGACTAGATTCTCTTAATTAATTTCAAATATTTTATCTTGAGAAAAGTCAAAATGCTTCAAAGAAAATGAGACCAGAAAGCACTTGCATTTATTTGCAGCTATTGGTTGTTTTTGAAACCTGACTATACTGATTCATGTGTGTGGACTGAGTGAATGCATTTGGGGAATTTTATTATGGGCCCAGTTACTAAACAGAGATAGCAAATGATTCTCATTCCTTCTTCTCAAGTCTTTCTCTGAGAGGCATGGTTTGTGTTTCCAAATGGAAAAAGCAATGTTAACTGGCACGATTCATTTCTGCAGGAATGGTGAGTATTCAGCCCTTGGATCTTTAATGCATTCCCTGGTTCTCGTAGAATACGATATGTAAGGATGGATTTTTTTAAAAAAGATAGGATATATTCAAGATTCTGATTCTTTATAGTAATGTCAAAGTTTAGTTTCTGAGATAATGAAAAAAGAGAATCATTTATTAATTTTTACAATTGATTATATGCGTGCAGTCACACACTGTGTAACACCCTTTCAGTCAATGGTGGGCCACGTATACTATGGTGGTCTCATAAAATTATAATGGAGCTGAAAAATTCCTTCACCGTTAGCTGTTGTAATGTCACAGCGCAGCAAGTCTGTGGTGATGCTGGTATAAACAAAGCTGTGCTGCCAGTTTTATAAGAGTGTAGCACATATAGTTATGTACCGTCAATACTTCCTGATGATAATAAACGACTGTCACCGGTTTATGTATATACTATGCTGTTTATCATTATTTTCTAGTGTACTAGAAAATACCTTCTACTTATTAAAAAAGTGAACTGTGAAACAGTCTTTGGCAAGTGGTTCAGGAGGTATTCCAGAAGAAGGCGTTGTTATCATAGGAGATGACAGCTCCATGCATGTCATTGCCCCTGAAGACCTTCCAGTGAGACAAGATGTGGAGGAGGAAGACAGTGATTTTGATGATATGGACCCTGTGTATGCCTAGGCTAATGTGTTTGCTTGTGTCTTAGTTCTTAACAAAGAACTAAGAACAAAAAAGTATAAAAAGTAAAAAATAAAAATTTTAAAAAATAAGAAAAAGCATATAGAATAAGAATGTAAAGAAAGAAAATATTTTTATATAGCTATACAATGTGTTTGTGCTTTAAGCTAAGGGTTAACACAAAAAAGAAAGTTAAAACTATTAAAGAGTTTATAAAGTAAAAAAGTTTCAGTGAGGTAGGATTAATTTATTATTGAAGAAAGAAAAAATTTTAGAATAAATGTAGTGTGGCCTGAGTGTACAGTGCTCATAAGGTTTGCAATAGTGCACAGTAATGTCCTAGGCCTTCACAGTCACTCACTGCTCACTCAGTGACTAACCCAGAGCAACTTCCAGTCCTGCACGCTCCATCCATCATATGTGCCCTATATAGGTCCACCTTTTGTTTATCTTTTATACCATAGTTTTACTGTATCTTTTCTATGTTTAGATATGTTTAGATGCACAAATACTTACCATTGTGTTACAATTTCCTACAATATTCAGTATAGTAACATGCTGTATGGGTTTGTAGTCTAGGAGCAATAGGCCATACCATATAACCAAGGTGTGTAGCAGGCTATACAATCTAGGCTTGTATGAGAACATTCTATGATGTTCACACAATGACAAGATCACTAAATGATGCATTTCTTTGAACATATTCCTATCATTAAGCGATACATGACTATTTATAAAATCAGATATGTCTTCACTAATTTGCTTTACTTAGACTGATATTAAAATGTTTTTCCCCAAATGCATTAAATGATGATTTGGAGGTTATCTTACACAAGTGTCTGAGATTTTAACTATATTCTGACCACGCATAATGGGTAACAGATAATTTTTCTTCATGTTTTGTGATTTAAATGATTCTTTTCATTTCTACTACCATGCAAACAAGTATGAGTTTTAGCAGGCTGCTTATAAGGTGTCCAAAGTGTGCTGATTCGCGTGCACTCACCTTTCCACATCTGTCTCTTCTACTCCTACCTGCTTCACCCTGCTTTGGGCCCCGGAGGCTTGACTGGTGTAGACTAATTAGCCTCTGGTGCTTCTAGCTTCTAGATGCTTTTGGCCAATGGGAGCTTTGGCCATGTTTCAGGGTGTTCTCCCTCTAAGTTTACTTTGGGTGGCTTTGTCTTTCTTTCAAAGGTGGGTCATCTGGTATGACAGGTTCCTTCTTGGATTCTGGTCATCTCACTCTCCTTCCTTTGTGCTTAGGTATTAACAGATCCTGCAGTATTAAGAGCTTCAAGTTACCTACTTGCTACCTCTTTCCTCACATCCTTCCACACCTTTGTATATAGTCTCTTTATAAATAAACCATTCTCAAATTATCCTGCTTTGAGCATGTCATCTCTTTCCTATAGGGATCCTGATTGAATAAAAAAAAACCACCACATAACAGAGCTCAGGGAGCAGTGCAGCCATGCATTACTTTCATTTGCAAACAGTGAGGGAACTGACAGAGGAGGAAAAGTAAGAAATTGTTGCTTACCTTCAGAATTCTTAGGAAAAGTACACATTTACTATTTTCTTTCTGTCCCAGATGGATGTAATTTATCTATATATACATTAACCTTGTGTTTGCTTGGTTTTATACACACAAAATTTCAGTGAAGGTGAATTTACTGGTATGCAGGTACAGGTGAAGAATAGCAGTTTAGATCTACCCTATAGGTAAAACAGAGTCTTTATTCCTAAGGTTCTCTATAAATTTCTTTTAACTGCCCCTGTGATGATCCTTTATTACCCATAGTAACCCGGCTGATGGAATTTCTGAAGATGACTAACAATTCTGGCAGAGCTGATTGTAGTTAGGAGTCTTTCCTTTGGCAAGTGACTAAAGGTACTGTTTTATCTGTTATTCCTTGTGGTAATGTCTCCTTTGTTCAGAGGCGACATGGGCTATAGCATCCTAAATGTCTAAACTCAAAGCTCTTGTACTTTAGGTAGGCATCTGGAATGATGAATGACAAAGGTCATAATCTCTGCTCACTCAGGACTTTCATATATAGGTTACAGGACAGGGTAGATGAAAAGATAATTCTGTATTTTTTAGCTTTTTATTTTGAAATAATTTTAGATTCACTAGCAGTTACAAAAATAGTGCAGAGAATTCTTGTGCACCCATTCTACAACTTCTCCCAATGATAACATCTTATATAACCATAATTTTATATTTTATTGTTAAGAAATTTTTCATAGAATAGATTTATTGATTTATTCCTATACTCTGTGCTTCAGTTTGTTCCTGAGCTAATATTTAAGAAGCTCCATCTTTTTATTTTCATTTTGGGAAAAAAACTTAGGATGCATATTAAGAGGGAACAAACAGTATTATAAACAACATCCCTTTGTTAGAAAGTATTAGCTGGGCAGTGACTGAAAATGCTGCTTTGCTGATAGAATTTTTAGCAATGACAACTAAATATTGATTTTTTTTATTCCATAGCAGAACAATTGGGTATGATTTGTTACATACCAGAAATGCTTTACTAGCAGTGCCAAACAATATTTTGGGGAAAGCTGTGTAGTTTATAGGCTGCCTTTGTTGAAAAAAGAAAAGAGAGAGATGGGGAAAAACTACTTTTTCCAATATTTTGACTTATTATAGCTAACACATTTTTTCCTATTTATAAGGCCATTTTCAATGTCTGACTACAAAAAAAGTCTGGTACAGTGTGTTGGGATATTGTATTTCTGGAAAATGTATTACTTATTTGAATATTTGACAACAGTTCCCATTTCATGGTAAATTTCTACTTTTAGACCTTAGGACACCTAGGCCTATGGCCCTGAAAGACTTCCTTAACATTGAAAGACCCTTTAAAAGAAGGTTTCAAATTGCTAAGAGTTGAAAGTTCAGAGTCATAATTTTCATGCTAAACTTGACTTTCTGAGTCAATAACCTATAATGGTGGTTATCATTTATGATGTCTAATTCCATATGAATTTTTTAAATATTATAAAATAATTTGTACTATTTTATGACTATAGAATGGCCACACTTTTGTTCAGACAGCCCTGCAAAGCCCCAAACGTGGCCCTGGTCAACCAAAGCCTATTCCCTTAAACACGTATCTCAGATTTTGCATTCATTGAGCAGATGAATGCAAGTGAAAACAAACTGCTCTCTGTAGCATTGCTTCAGCTATAAACAGGCAGGTCATTGGTCTTTCGAGAAATTCTTGTTGGGTATTATTAATAGCTGCTTTCACTGAAGAAAAGTCTGTTGATCAAGAGACAGACACATCAGATAAAAACTGTTAACTTTGCACATAGGTGCTACAGTAATAGGGTATTGGGCAGGTGGGAGGGGGGAGGGGGGAAATGGGCATTTATTGAAACCTTAAAATCTGTACCCCCATAATATGCCAAAATAAAAAAAAATTAAAAAAAAACAAAAAAAAACTGTTAACTTTGTAAATGACCCATTTGCCAGTTTCCAAGCATTATTTGAAATATTTGGATTTAAAATTGGAGATAAAAAGTACTTTTGAGTATCCATAAAAATTGATTATTAATTGCAGCAAAATTTCAACATTCCACTTATGTAACATAAAGCAAATTCATACTATATTAAATTATGCATTTATTGTGCTACTTCCAAGCACTGAGTGGTAATCGCCATGGGGAAGACTGCAACCTGCTTTTTGTTTTACTATACTCAGTAACAAATCAACGCATAGGTTGTATGTCTATTCACCTCCAATTTGAAATTCTTTATACAAGTGTCTTTCTGCTTAAGGGCAAATTTTAAAGATGAAACTAGAGGATAAGAAACAAGCTCAATTTTGGACAATACTTGATTCATTTAATGTGAACCTTAATTCTAGGGTCTACGAAGGGCCCAGCCACTCAGTGGTATGTTCTTGGGGAACTGTGCATGACATAAGGAACAGGACTTAACTTCCTACTCATTAGCTTCCTCTTCATTTCTCCTCCTATGGTTTTTGGTTTGCTGAGGTGATGCTATTTATGTTATAAATAAAGAAGTGTTTTTAATTAATAAAGTAACTATCTCTTGGGTATCTACCTATGGTCACGTCATTGGATGAGTTCATAATGACCCTCATACTTTTGTGTTCTCTCAGGCTGTAGTGAAATTAGCAGATATTGTTAATGACCTGAGGAGAGCTGTGCAGGATAGTTGTTCATTCTCTTTTATCATTATAAACTTTATTCGTAACCTGGCTTGTATATTACTTGTTATGAAGAAGACAAGGTAACAATAAATCCATCACCACTACAAGGAAAATCCCCTTGTTGGGATTCCAAGATGCATGAGACACATGTCCTATCCCCTTGGAGTTCATAATCCAATGAGTTTGAAGTAAACACAGAATTACAAAGTAGTTTGATAAATGACATAATTAGAGTGTACCAGCTGTGGGAGCACATAGAAACAAATCTTTTTCAGAGGGTTGAGTTGGGGCCAGGGAAAGCTACCCGGTACAGGTAATTTAAGCTGTGATTTCTGGAAAGGGAAGCAAGAGGATACGTAGGCATAGGGCAAGGTAGGGAATTGGATGGGAATATGAGGATTAGCATAGTACAGCCAGAACAGTTAGGTAGTTAGGTTGAGATATAAGCATGAACAACAGTGTCCATGAGCTTTGCAATTCTTACACATCCTCATTTCAACCCATTCTGTAGGGAACACAAAATATTATTCCTATTTAAAAAATAAGAAAATGCCAGAAATGTCAAGTGAATTGTACAAAATCTTATTACTTATAGATTGTACAGCCAGGATTGGAATCCAGACCTGGTGACTTCAAATTCTGTCCTTTTAGTATTTTGACCAAGGCTCTACCAAAGTGAACAGTGAGTAGGACTATTTTTAATTAATGAAATGTACAATTTTTCTGAGATGATAATTTTTTTAGATGTACTATTGTGTTATTTAAATTTGTGCCCTCAGCCGTGCTCAGTGCAATGCTAGACATGCAGTAGATGGCCAATCAATGTTTTGAATTAAATTGAATTGATGTATAGGTTTTGGAAAAATTTTCTTGAATGAATGAAAGTCTTGGCTGGGCTTTCCACTTTTTGCTTTCTTCATTTAGTTCTTTTCCAATCTATTCTTATCTTCATAGGTGTCGACATGCATTAGAACTTCACATCCAGATCCTAAACTTGGAACTCTAACTTTCTTACCCTCATACTCCTTTGCACACAGTATAGAGTTTCTTTTCAAATACATTTATTTTATACCTATGCCACATGTGTTGTTTTTTTGTCTTCATATTCTCCACTCCAAACAAAATCTTGACCAAAACCAAAAAATTAGGCCTTTATCTTGGCAAATGGTTTCGTGATCAGTTTTCCTATTTTGAAACACCAATATAAGGCATAGGCACTCGGGGCTTCCTGTGATGGCTTTGGAGTGCACGTATACTATTTCTCACACTTTCTCTTGGCTGAGGAGATGATGACATTTTTGGTTTTAGTGGCCTTTATGTTTTACCTCCACTTGAAATCAGTGAAAGGAGAAACTATATGGATTTTCTAGAAAGGAAATTAGAGATCATTTGATGCTGGCCTGATGTTAACTGAGGACAAGGCTGAATTTAAGCAACAGAACTGGCATATACTGACTACTCTCCACTTTCCAGCTTTTGAATCGTGTTGACATTCACAGGGGCTGTGTGGGGCCAATTTTGTGTCAGAGAATTTTAATTTCCAAAAAAATGTACGGAGATAAATCTATGGAAATAATTATATGATTCTAACGGCTCATCTTCCCCACTGTAATGTGAGAGAGAGGTCCTAAAGGACAAGCTGCATCAGTCATCACTGGAAAAGCCTGCTGTACCCCATCCAGGGTTGGAGTGGCCCCGCTATCGAGTGTTTCTGGTGGGGAATCCACCATTTCTCTTGGCAGCCCTTCCAGTTCTCTGTCCATCACAGCTTTTTCCAGACAGGCTTGTTTTTTGCAGCTGTGTTTGGCCAGATGATCTTGGGCCATTCTCCCAGGCTCATCTCCATCATGCCCAGTTATGTGTGGGCCACAGAGCCCTGATATGGACTGGGGTGGGGGAGAAGCATGAATGCTGTTAGTCAGCTTAGGGGGGATGCACATTTTACTGTTATACTTTTGCTCTTCATTAAACCTCCAGGATCTATGTTACTTGTTCCTTACAAATGAGATGTCAAACATAGTGACATTTAGCTTTACTTTTTTTTATCATCACTTAATTCCACAGCGACAAACCAGTGCCTCCAACACCCAGTCTTCACCCATGTGGATACATCCTCTTGGGACTTAGTATCACACGTGACACAAGACATTCACTTACCCAGTACCCCAAATGTTCCTGGCCTCACTTTCAAGCAACACTTTATTGGAAAATCATCCATAATTTTCTGGCCGCTGTCATTCCTGGGTCTCTGCTTTCCATAACCTCTCATTCCTGTTGAACAGCTGTGCTTCTGATTAGTTTTCTCTAGAGGTATTAACTTTTCAGCACTCTGCACAAGGAAACTTTTGAAGTAATGGGAACAATGGGCCCATCCTTGTTTTGGTCCAGCCAGTTAGTCTGCTGTGCTTCAGAAAAAAATTCTTGGAGAGAGACATGAAACTAAACTAAAGTAAAAACTCACTTAGACATTTCTTAAATCTGAGACTTAACATCATGAAAATCATGGTTATCCACTCAGAGTACAGAACAATCTCATCTTCACTTATGTATATTTCTCTTGTCTATTTTTTCCATATATTCTGAGAGACTAATATTTAGTTATCAGTAACACATACCAGTTTTCTGAAGATTTGAGCAGAGAATGAGTAACCCCAGTTGCTGAAGGTAACTATGCATAACTACTTTCACCCTTTTTTGGGGGGGACCATCCATTTAGATCGGATTCTACTGTTACAGTCTCATTGAATGACATTTCCTTCATTGCATTTACCATTCATTATTAAAATAAAATATGCTTTATACAATTCTTTAAAAAGAATATGTTATGGTTGCTAATAAATGAAACTTTTAATTTCTAGGTTTTTTCTAGAACTTTTAATTCTAGCTTTTTTCTAGGGAAGTAGATGAAAAAATATATTTACATGCTAACATATAGAATGCAAAAATACATCACTACTTGAAGAAATGCTGAAACACTATGAAGCTTCATGAATTTGATAAAAGAGTTTCCTTCTTGTGAATTTATATTAGGATTGGATATTTAGCCCTTATATCTATGACCAACAAAATGTCAAATTCTATAATGAAGAAATGACTGACCCAACATTGATTATACCAACTATATGTTGGTTTAAAAGAAGGAGAAATGAACTTCCTAATTATCAGAAAATATTTCATGGGGGAGGTGGGATTTGTGTTAGATCTTGGAGATTGGTAGGATTTAGTCTGTTTTAAGAAAGGCAGTACGATACTAGCAAAAACCCAGTATAGGAAAAGAATAATATGGATTAAGGAGAGAACAAGACTTCTGACTTTATGGGGGGTTTATGTAAGGGAGCAGAGGGAAGTAAGAGTAGAAAATTATGATAGCAAGATGATCAGATTTGGCAAAGTTTAAATCCCAATATAGGGAGTTTGGCTCTTATTCTACAGGATAAAAGGAGCTATTAAAGAGATTTGAATAGGAAAATATTATCAATATGGTGTTTTAAGAAAAAATTAGCCCTCAGCTAATAGAAAAGCATAATTATAGAGTCAATTAACTGAAAACTGGAAAATCACTTAGGAGGAGTCTGCAAGGTGTTTAGTGCCTGGAGAAAGGTAGTAAAGTATAAATGGAAGAAAGAAGTAGGTAGTGGCAAGCTCTTTGTTGTGTCATTCATTCATCAAGGCTACTCTGATAAACATATTTGCCAATTCTAAGTTTTTGTTTTATATTCTTTTGAATTTTTACATATATCATCATATCATCTGTGAATAATAGCATTCATTTATGATTTGTATACCTGTTATTTTTTTCATGTATTATTTAATTGGCTAGAATCTTCAATATAAAGTTATAATGTTAAATAGCAATTTTTACTCTTATCTTTTGTATGTTCTCAAAGAGATAGTTTCTAATATTTTACTAATAAGTAAGACGTCTGCTATAAGATGTTTTTGTACATATCCTTACCAGATTAAGGATGTGTCCTATTACTATATTGCTAAAAATTACTATCATGAGTGGATATTGAGTTTTATCAAAGTTTTTCAGTATTTAGTGAGATAATCATAGGTTATCTTTTATTCTGTAATGAAAGTTACATAAAATTATTTTTCAAATACTTAACCAATTTTGTATTTCTGAAATAAACTCAGTTTCGGCATAATCTATCATGCTGTTTATAAATTGTTGAATTCTCTTTGCTAAAATTTTTGTTAGGAGTTTTGCATGTGTGTTTCTAACTTAGAGTTTTATATAATTTTCCTTTCTTATAATGTCCTTGATGAATTTGTTACCAACTTTATGAATAATGTTATGCTATATTTTTCAAATTGAATTATTTAAATGTTCACTATTTTTAACAGTCTCTGTAATATTTTGTATAAGACTGACATTATTAAGACTCCCTTAATTGTCTGGTAGAATATACTGGTAAAGGCAGTGGGTTCTGGAATTTATTTTGCAGAGGGCAAGAAGAGGAAGATTTTTATTTATGAATTAAATTTCTTTAAAAATATGAGACTATTCATATTTTCTCTTCCTTTTTGCTGCAGTTTTATGAAAGTGTTTTTCTAGGAATTTATTTCATCTAAATTTTCAGAGTTATTGTCATAGATAGTTCAGAATATTTTTGCTGTATTTTTTCAATGACTACAAGATCTCTAGTGATATATTCATTATTTCCAACATTGATTTATTTGTATCTTCTGTTTTTATTTCTTGATGACTCTCCTCAGGGGGTTATTAATCCTATTAGTCTTTAAAGGAACCAAATATGCTTGAAGAAAATAGAAGGTATACACGTCTTAGATTTTATAGATAATTTAACGAAAGGAAGTATCTAGAGGTATGTTGGTTAAGGGAACCAACAAGGGATTTTGAAGCCCGCAGGTACTAATGACAAGAAGCCACTGCCGTTCCAAGGCCTTAGTAATGAGAAAGAAGCCTGTAGGCATAGAATTAATGGGAATGGATGGGTCTTCTGAGAGGAAGTGTGTTTATACAGGGATACAGGCCCTGCCATATCTGTAGCATTGAGGCAGGCGGGGCACAGGGAACTGTTCCCATGATTCCTTTCTTCTTCCTACCAGCCTGTCTTCTACTAGTGCCTTTCATTGCCTGAACGCTGTGTGAAGCCTCCGTTTGCAGTACACAGTGGTCAGCCTGAGAAAGGCAGAGAATGGATCTGGGGTCACACAGAATAAACAGCACACCAACGTTTGGCTTTATTGATCTATATTTGCATATTTGCTTTTATGTCATTAATTCCTCTTGTGCACTTAATTGAATTTTTTCTTATACTGGTTTTAGATTTATTTCTAATTAATTTCTCTTTTTCTAATATCTTGAGATAGATGCTTACCAATGAAATGTTCCGTTTTTCTTCTTTTTGATATAAAGTTATTGTTTCCCTCTAGGCACTGGTTCATTTGCAAGTTTTGAATTTTGTTATCATTCAATTCGAAATATTTTCTAATTTTTATTACAATTTCTTCTTTAATCCATTGGGTTAGATAGGACTATATTTTTTAAATCTCTAACATATGAGTATTTTCTATATTTTTGTAATTGATTTTTAGCTTAATTACATTCATACAGCATATAATTTCAGTCCTTTAAAATTCATTGAGATTTGTTTATGCCCATTATACGGCAAGTAGATGTTGCAAGTGTACTTGGAAAAAATATGTATCATG